CATTTGCAATTAAATAAATATAGGATGCTTCTCAGAGTCGGCCCTCAGCTAACAATTAGGAAAATGGATGTGGCGCTCAGTCCTGCTTGCAGCGTCAGCTCTGCTGCAACTTGAAGACGGAGAAGATAATAGGAAATAAACATGTTATTACTTTTACCACCACCTGCAGAGGGAGAAAGAAGAGTGGACGTTTTCCTTTGAGTATAATAATTACTGCAATCTCTCTGTGTGGTTGAAATCCTCTGCACAGGCTTACATGCATGTCGGCAATGGATCTCCTGTAAAGTAACTCTTACACAATAAATTACAAAACACATGCGTGCACTTATCAAAATGAACACACAGGTAGCAGTTCATATGAAGCAATCATTTACATAACAGCTTTTTCATGGAAAGAAAAGGAGTACATGGTCTAATAGCATTAAGGGGAGAAATGACAAAGAGAGGGAGGCTTTCAGAGGTAATGGATGGAAGGAGATAATGACAGACAAAAAAAAAAGGCAAAAAAGTAATTTCATATTAATACTCTACTTTAAGAGCCCATGTGATACATTATTAATTGGCTGGAAAATGTAGCAACCTGTGCACCTTGCAGAAAGGAAAGCCCTTTGACAGTGGCTTTGAATGTAAACAGCATCAGTTTGGTGTCGCTTAAAACAAACCCAGTATGTGACACTTCATAACATCAAGACAAAATTACATTCCTGGCTGCACCAGCCTCAGCTGTATATAATCAAAGGTTACCTGACAATGCGGTGTGTGTAATCTTTCGAGCTGATGTGAAGTGTGGCGTGATAAATTGGAGTGTATTACTTTGACTGTGCAGTGGCTCAGCTCACATTAAATCCTAGATAAAAGAGTGGTCCTCATGAATCTGGTCGGGGGTCGGGAGTGTTTCCTTCTGCCTAAAGTCCTAAAGTCTGTTGACTGTAAAAAAACAAAAAACAATTAAATAGAGCATGTCAGTTTGGGACATGTAATCACAACCTCTAACATTTGTTCATGGCCCTCTTACAAGATGCATCGTAGCCTGCGACGTGTGCGCGGCCCAAGAGAATTGTCGACGGATTTGCCAAGTGTAGGTTCTTGTTCTCCCCTTAAGCAATGCCCACACCGTTTACCTTGCAACCCTGCTTGTCTATTTCCAATGAACCACATAATGCGACATGACTTTGCTTTGACAATGAAATGGTTCACTATCTGTCCTCTGTCCGTCTGTAACCACATGGATTATTTCTTCATCCCTCTCTCTCGCTCCTCTCAGGGAAGCCTGAGATACGTGACAAGGAGGAATTTCAAATGTTTTTCTACTGCTTTCTGACTACATCAGAACAAATAGCGTTTGTTTACTTATTTGTATTTGTCTTATTGGTTTCAGAGATAATTTGCATGACTTCCGGGCTCATTGTAGCCGCTGCATGCTGAAAGCTTGCGGTCAGGAATCATCAGCAAAGTGGTGTCACGTGTGACTCCATGTCTTTGTGGTTCCACGGCTGGGTTTAAAATGCAGTTTGGAATTACGCCGGTGTTTAAATATGTGCATCAATTTAATGTTTGCGCATATTTGCATTGCATGTTTACGTGTGTGATGTTGCATCTGAATATGTGCATGTGCTTGTGTTGACTTCAAACTCCTTGGTGTGTAACTGACATCCATGTGAGACTGGAGCAAAATGCACAAAGAAATCCAATAAATCATTCATTTACTTTTGGGACTTACTATGAAGATGTATGCATGGTGAACTAAGTGAACTAATATCTCTCTCTCTCTCCCCCCTTTGGGTCTCAGTCTGCTATCGTATGTAACCTTTCGTACACCAGCTCATCAGAAACCGATGCGAGGCTACTTAATTATCAAGATAAAAAGAAATCCCAAACAAAATTGGACCCGAAACAGTATTTAACTGTTACAAACAAAGTGGAAGAAAAAAAGGCAGCGATCAACACGAGGTGATGAACCCTGTTATGAAGTGCACACAATGCAGACACCCGTTTCCATGGAGACCTACCTGTGAAGCGTCAGGAGGCAACGTAAAACTTCTTTCCAGGTTTGGACCCTTTTAAAAAAAGTAATGTGAAACAAAAGGTAGCACAGGCACAGGCGGACTTCACACGCTCTGGTAGAAATACAAAAAGGGAAAAGGGCCTGGCAAAGAAGTAACACAACAAGATAACCACAAACTAACACTTAATACCAGAATACAAAACATGCAACTCGGGAAGGAACAAAAGATAACCTGACACAGACAAGAGGGGAACTGAGGCTTAAATACAGGTGGAGGCAATTGCAAACTAAACTCAGCTGTGGGGAGAAAAGAAGGGCGAGGAACTAAATACAGGAAGTGCACTGGTTACAGAAATAAGAACAGGAAGTTAATCTTCACAGTCCCTGCGAGTCGTCACACTACCGAAATCCTCAGCACCCACTGTACCTGCATTAATCTAAAGCCTTTTTCTCTCTAAACAAATAAATTAGTTGGCCAGTTGCCGAAACTGGCCTGGAAGGGTCAAAGGTGATCTCATCCTCGGTGCTAACCTCGTGCTGGGTTCATATCTTCACAGCCTTGTAGCAGCCTGCTTGTGCAAACTGTGCCACCCCTCATCCATGAGGAGTCCCTGCTGAACTCAGCTAAATTTAGGTGCAGCAATGTGTAGAGCAGGTGTATTGCACATGGCCTACCTAGACCGTTCTGTATTAATTTGACTGCGCTCGACCCGGATAGGCCTTTGGAGAAGCCCACATGCTTTTTTGGCACTGACTTCTGCTAAAAGTCGTTATTTTCTATCTATAAACGCACTAAAACGGTCTCTCTCTTTTCTGTTGACATCACAACACAGTTGAAGACAAAAGGAGAGACTAAAATGTGTTATTATTTTTTCATTACCAACTTGGTTGACTGTTCTTCAGATGCGAGGTTGCGGTTTATTATTGATGTATTGGCCTGTAAACCTCTAATGTTGGAATCCATGAGCACAGCAAATTAAGTTTTTTGGAACTTTTCACATTTTCAGATGATAGAGAGAATACCAGATGGGTCCGTGGCAGCATACTTTTATGCACGTGCAAAGGCTCGCTCATTTATTCATGTATTACAAAGGACGGAGCTTGGTGTTCCATTAGGTTAGAGCTTTTTTGGATTCAACATTGCTGTCCTCTTTTACATCTTCCCACCAAAGCAGTCTCATGTCATTGTACTACTTTATGTTTCCCTTCAAACCCCCATTTACCCTATTAGGAGAACCTCCTCATATCGCAGCACAGAGTCGTGCAAATCCAAAAACCTCAACGTATGTCAAAATAATGCTTGGTTTAGCTACTAATGAGCTGGAAGTTAAGTCAAAGTGGGATGGAATTTGTGTATTGAAAAAGGAGAATTGTAATGTTGGTGGATACATTTATTCGTTCTGGTATTCCCTATCGTTCTGCATCAGAGTGGCACCTCATTATGCTGATTGCCAGTCGTGTGTTTAGCGGTGTGGGGTTGGAGAATATGCAGGGAGACGTTCCCTGTCTACAACACACAGACTGCTGGGAAAATAATGCATGAGGAATTGACTTTTGTGATCAGCGCCAGTTGTGAATATCATAAATATTTAGTCTAGTATCATAAAATGGATTTCTTCATTGTCATTAGTATGCACTTTTTTTTTTACGTGCAGAATTTTTGTGACATACCGACTCATATCAGCCTCAAAAGGTGGTTAAAGTTAACTCTTGCGGAAATATCACACTGAGAAAATTGAAAGCCTTTGGAGCCAAATTACCGCGATACCTTCCGCTTCACTTCACTTATTCCCATCACCAACGTCCTGCCCTAGAAACGAGATTGGGAAAATGCAAATTTGCCCTCTCCCACAGTAGACCTACTGGTCGATGACTGGGCGTGGCCTTTGACTGGGCGTGGCCGCTGGCTGGGCGTGGCCTTTGTTTTGCGGGGGGGGCAGCACGCTGCCAAGTTTTCAAACTGTTTGGCGAAGGAAAGTCACTCGCCGAACAGGAAGCGGGGAAATAACCTCGGGAGGAACAAAAACCGTTCTTTCTGTCTGTGAAATACATTTAAATAGAGCTGTAGTGTTTATATTCATGAGTAGAGCCGCCTTAGTATTTTGACGGGGGAGGTCGGAGTGCGGCGCTGAGCGTTCATTTCTTGCGCATTTCAATGTTCTGGATTAGGACGCACACCGGCTCAGGTGCACCGCACAACCGGGAGACCCGCGTTGCTTCAAGCTCTTCTTGGATCAATCTGATTTATTCGTGTCGGAGCACGGAAGCCTCGCCGGCTTCATCCGGCGCGCCCGCCCATCGGCGGCGATAGCGGGACATCGATCAGAGTCTCCGGGATTTATCCGCGTGGAGGACGCCGGCAGGGAGACCTGCTCGGACTGCGATTCGCTCCCCCGGCAAGAGAAGACCAATACAAGCAAGGAGTTACTTCAGCCGGACTCCACGCCGGCTTTACCCTCTTTATCGAGCTTTATCTTCTGTATCGTCTCGAAAAAAAGAAGAATAAAACGCGCGAGTCACGCCGGAGTTTCCTTTCTTCCGCCGAGTAGGTTGCGAGTGCGCGTCGCCTCCGCAGTCCCGGATGCGTAGTAAACTGGGAGTGGGTTGGGTCGCCTAGGGTCCTGGCGCGATAGGTGAGAGGAGGGAGTGGGGGAGGCTTATTACTCCCCCTTTGTTTATAATCAGGAGGACACCGGAGCGGTGAGCCGGACACTAAGAGACCGCCGGACTTATCACCGGCTGTGGATTTGACTCCCGACACAAACCTCGACCGGTCTCCCGGGATTCGCAGATCGTGCTTTTTTTTTTTTAATTCCCTTTTCTTTCATTTGGGTGAGAAACATCGGTTGGACCACATTGTCGGACCCGAGCCGACTTCTCCTCCTCCTCCTCCTCCTCCTCCTCGTCTGAAGGGAATATAACGAGGGAATCTGCGGGGCAACACTCTCACGCACGATGGCAACCGGTGCGCTCCTTCTTGCCTGCGCGCTGCTCGGTAAGTCACCCAAGGAGCCTCCATCCGTGCCGCCGGTCTCCCCCCGGCGTTTAGCTTAAAGAACGCACACTTGTGCCTTGAGACCCGTAGGCCTGCATCTTAGCTGGGGGGGGGATACTCGTCATCATGAGTCAGGTCAGGTGGAAGACGGCTGCATCGATAACCGATGCAATAATGGCAGATGCCTGTGAACAGCTGTGTGTGTGTGCGTGCGCGTTGAACTAGGTTAATGTGATATTGCACCTCTAACCAAAGATTAACCCTATACAGTCTGACCTCAAACGAGCTGATTAAATGGACAACCTGCTCTTTTTTTGTTCTTGTCGTAAACACATTCATGTATAAACAGATGCACACATCTGGATCACACACCCTCGCATCCCGATAGGAGATAGGAAGTCATCCCCGTGGGTGTGAAGAAACTCAGTGGGCTACCTGCTTTTGCGGTGCACCAATTCCCCCTTGACACAGAGCCACACTGTGTCCTCGTCTCACGCGTTTGCAACTTGTACTTGTCATTTATTGGATTTCGGAGACAAACGCGAGCTCGAGCATGTAGAGCCGATGACACTGGGTGACTCATGCAATCAGTAACGCAGCCACACGACTGCTGACACACTTGATCGTGCATCCTGCCTCCGAACTGTCCCAAACAAACACCAGATGGCTTCTCTGTTTCTGGATGGGGAGGCCTGTCAGCGCTGCCGGGGCACAAAGGCGGGTGGGGGGCGTGAGTGGGGGTGGAAGTGGCCCGCTGGCCCCCACTTGGCCTGGAGGATCAACCAGTCTGCATCTTGCCTTTTATAGGCCCCCCCTTTTTTTTCGCTTCAGCAATCACTAGAATTGGTGGCTGCTAATACATCTTTTCCTGGTAAAAATGTGAGATGTATTAGTCCGTGTACAGTAGGACAAAGTAAGACTGCACACCGGCAGATCCAATCTGCGGTGTAGGCTGGATAATGGAGGGCTTTTCATATTACATAACCATGAATCATATGCTTGGCTTAAACAGGAAGCCGTTTGAGGTGGTGACAAACCTTTTAGGTGTTAGGAAAGAGTTTATTCTGTGGCGTGTCTGTGGATCACTGGCTCAAACGGCCGGAGGAGACTTTCTAATGTTGCCACCGCTACTGACGATATTATTTTAGTCTGGTAATGGTCCTATGCCGCCGAGAAATCGAGATGAGCTTAGAAATCAGTTGATGTTTGGAAAATACTTTTGCTTTCTTTGACACAAAGGGGCAATATGTTGTGAGTTTAGCTTATCAAACAAAGTGTACCACGATAGTGAACTATGTCTCAAGGGCCGGACTGACAAAATAAGACTTTAGAAGACATCACATTGGCTCCGGGACCTTGTGATGGGTGTAACACATACCGATGTGCTATCTTAACACATACCGATGTGCTATCTTAACACATACACTACCAGTCAAGTTTGGACACAATTCTCATTTAACTTGTGTCCTACATTTTGAATGGTACTGTACCAATGGTACCAGCTTAACACATACCAACCTGCCATCTTCACACATCCACCCGTTAATCCGTCTCCGAGGGTGCATACGAGCATCTGTGTGGAACGAGATGTGCGCTTGCTTTTGTGTTTGCACTTGAATTGGTTGGGAAGGGAGAATAAAATAAAGGTAGATGACAGCTGCGTTAGATGGAGGAGACTCCATCTTTTTTTTTTTAAACCCAGAGGTGCCTCTTAAACAATTCTTTGGAAGGCAGATCTTATATTGGGGGTTATATCTACTGCTGAGTTTGCAACCAGGTGTCAGTGTGTCTGTGTGTGGTGTGTGTGTGTGTGTGTGCGCTGCTCTCTGGCACCAGGGTATGTGATTTCAAGCATATAAAAAAAGAGTTGCCTGAAGCGACAAATGTTTATTGGCATTACAAACGGCCCCCGCCAACAGTGACAAAGATGTCGTGCGCCCTGTGTGGTGTTACGCAGAGTTCTTTTTGTTCTTTTTTTGGGGGGGGGGGGTTCGTCTGTATGTGTAAGAGTCCCTTTGCAAGCGGGAGCCCACCTAAAGTAGCAAAGACGTACAAGTTTCTATCGCTAAATTGAAAGGTACAAGTTTGGGGGCTGGCTGGTTGGACTGTGAAATGCCCGAGTGGTTTCCATTTACTGGGCTGACAGCAGAGCTGCTTCCAGTTGCCCAGCTTCACATGAGCTGCCACCGGTCCTGTTTTATAAGCTGGTCTCAGAGCAGCTCCGCATCGCACCGAGAACGTGCGGCTTAATGTCTGACAAGATGCGCATTCGGCCACGTGCAGTTTCTTCACGCGTTTGTCGTGACGTGGAGTTTTATATAGCTTCATTCTCTCCGTTCCTCTGTGGAACAGGGGCTGGTTTTCACCTTCTTCACACGATATCCAAACTTGTAATAACAGTCGTTTGCAGACTCCTTTGTCAGATGGTCGTGGTAGGGAGGGGAACGAGGTGGTAAATAATGCATGCAGATTGGCTCAAAGCGGCACGTGGGTGTGGCCTCCTTATTTGAAAGGGTAATATATGAACCATTACACCTACAGTCGCGCTGACAGCTGTTCATTTCTGCAATCATTTCGCTGAGCATTTTCTCGACTCTGCTGTAGCCGTTTGTTTTCTTTACACCTCTTCCCATCCACGGGTTTCCATTTGTTTCTGGAGGAGATGGAATATAAATTGACACATTTTGATTTTGCACTGTCTGGGAGGAATATCAACAAAAACCTCTCAGACAATCTGTCGTGGGAATAACAGGAATTAGGCAATTTCATTAAAAATGTTTTTTTTTGTTTTTATGTTCACTGTCACAGAACGCACAGCTCAATAAATTGATTAAATCCACTGACCACCTGCCTGGACAGTAAATTCAATGTTGAAGAAGCGGCATGACCATTTAGTTGTCTTGTTTCTCCCTCATCCGCCTCCATTCGGTCCCCCCGTTTGAGGTGGATATTTTCTAGTTTCCTCTCAGTCCTTCATCTTTTAGGCAGATCGGTGATGCTTCTTTTTGATCAGTGGTTTCAAGTCAGCCGAGCTGCTCAAACAACGGCCTGCTCTCCTGCCTCATTACAGCGCTGTTGATTTAAATGGGGGGAAGTTTTACGTAGTGGAATTAACGCCAGCAAACTTTTGAGTTTAGAGCTGGTTCTCCATAATTGGCCCAATCAAGCAACATAAAAGTACTTAAGAGCTCATTTCCATTTTAGGCACAATGGTTTATTTTCTTTTTTCCAAAACGTTGGAAGATGGGAAACACTTACAGCCACTTAAGTATAGACTTATTTTTCCACGTGGTGCTGGGACAATTGTCTCAACATTCCTGAAAGTGGTAGGAGAAGGGAAGAATCTAACTTGCATTTCAGACCCACTGATTAAATTGGGTGCATTTTCAATGTGTACAAAGTCAAAAATCAACTCGCAAGCATTTCCAATCGGATGAGGATTCTGCGTTTGCCTTCGCCACACCTCGATACCCACCCCGGCTTCTCCCTTGTCCCAAATAACGACAACAGCTGGGGGGCTCCCAGCCCACATTTCTTCAACTTGCATGTGGCCTAGCCAGGAAGATTACACTTTGGCGTCTCGGGCCAGAAGTTGCCGCCCTGGGAATGCTTTGCCCATGTGCCGGTTGCCCTCGGACGACCCAAACAAGAACATTGAAACAAACTGGTAAGCACCCTGGTTTTAAGGCACCATATATAGGCTCGGGATTTTAAACAAGCGATGTGTGTGCTCCACCCAGCTTGCCGGGTGCGCTTGCGATTGTCACTCATTAGGTTTGCCTCTTGTCACCCAGCAGAAAGCGAGCAACCTACGTCTCTCTGTTATGGGGGCTGGCGGGGGGGGGCAACAGGCCCGTTCAGCTGTCGCTGATCGCGGTGCCGCTTGTTATTTTTGGTTGCACGAACCCTTGTTTGCATCATAAGCACTGGAAACCATGTCTTTGTGTATACCCGCGACAAGAGGGCCCTTTGTGCTGTTGTTCTCTTTTGATATCATAACATTGTTGACTAAACAGACGGACAAGAAACAATGGAAAAGCACAAACACGCCCGTCGGCTCCGGCTATCGTCCCCTCCGCCCGTGTGGAGGGTTTTGGTGGCTATTCATTGACTGGATGGGTGATGAAGATGCATGCCATTCGCAGGTCATGGGATCAGTACAACCGTGTGCGATGGTGCTCATGGTGTCCGTTGCATCAGGTGCCGGTCAAATAGGGGTTGCTGGCGTGCGTCTACCCCCCCATACAGGGCAAGTAATTGCCTTGTCATACAGACGTCACAGTCCGCTGGAGAAACTCGCACTCGACTACCACCAGCTCCCTCCCCTCTGCCCGTGTCACAAGTCGGTGTGAAGGAAGAAAGCAAGCTTTCCTCCGTTGGAGCTTCCAGAGGAGAGCAAGGACTGGAGATTGAATTTACTTCATGGCCAGCAGAGCAATGGATCCAAAAACTAAAAAATCCGCTGTGAATAATCACAGCTAATTTTTTCATACGCCGTCTTGTTTTCTTCTTCTTTTTTTAAATGCCGATCCTCCCCCGTGACCCAGATCTGAGCTGTAGTGTTTCTTCAATCCACACGGGGAGATGAGTGTCTGTGGGAAGTGAGGTTAAGTTCTTGAGGGAGGCTTCCTGCCTGCCACAGTGAATCAGGAAAGTGGCCCGGAGCCGGAGCAGAGGCAGCGGCTGCTCCGTGTCTTGAGTTTGACTCCTCGGCGGCACGTCTCTTCCGCCCCACATCACGCAGCGCCCCGCAGTATCTCGTGTTTCATGATAACGACTGGTTCCAACCCGGCGAGTTAAATAGATGAGCAGGTTTATGGACAGTATGGAGAGGATATAGGGGAAAATGTCCAGGGGGGGCAGGGGGGGGCAAACAAACGAACAAGTGAGCAGCCGTGTCAGCAAAAGAAGAGGAGGAGACCCATGTTCAATGTTCTTTATAGCTGGAGCTCCTGCAGGCTCGGGTGTGATCAATAACCTGAAAGACAAGTTGGAGCTAC